CAGAGTGCAGCAGCTGCCCAGCAGCGCGGCAACGCCCCAGAGTGGCCCCGGGCCAAGGACGCAGGCCGGGCCCCCCCCCACCGAGCCTGCGGGGGGCCCCGGAGATCGGATGCCGGCCCCCAGAGCAGCGAGGGCCGCACTTCTGTTGTGGAACCGCCTCCCCACTTTCTGACATCACCCTCAGCCTGTGGCAGCTCAGCCCTCAGCTTCCAGAGGGAACGGAGCACCGGCCCCGACACACGGCAGAGCCCCGGCCACCTTGCTGGCCACCTTGCTGGCCCTGCCAGCCGGGGTGCGGAGAGCTGGCAGGACGGGCAGAGCCTCCCGGGAGGAGCAGAAGGGAGAGGGCTCCTCTTCCTCCCTGCTCCGGGCACTTTGTTCTGTTAGTCATTCAACAAACGTTCCCTGCAGACAGACAGCATCACTGCATTCTGCAAGACCTGACGGACAGAGCGCATAAAATGTGCTTGCGGGTGCTGGACAATTCATCCTGCCTGCTGGGCCTCCAGGGAGTTGGGGCGGCCCCAGCTGGACGGTCCTCCTGTGATCGGCCCTTCAGGCAGGTGTGGGCCCCACGGTGTGAAGCCTCCAGCACACCTTGCCGAAACCCATCTTGGGTTCCGCACTCCACGGGCCACCACTCACTCCGCAGCACCCTGGAACCTCGGGCCCCTCTGGAGGGCCTCTGTCCGCCGCGGAACCCGGGGTGAGCACCCCGACGGGCTCTGGTGTGCTCGTCCAAGGTCTCTACGAAGCGACACCCAGGGGGCACGGAGCCCCAGCCCTCAGGCGCGTGACAGCGGTCAGCGGCCGGGGAGCCGGGCTTCCCGCCGGGCCACGTCCTCCCCACTCCGGCGACCCGCTTCACAGCAACCCCCTTTCGCTCGCAATTAGGAGGCTTATAAAAGTGCTTCAGAACCACCGTGCCAAGACGTGTCTACACAACCCTGGAAACCTTAACTCAGGCGCAGCCAGGCCGGAGCCCTCCGGCATCGCACCGGCCACCCTCCACGGCCCTCAGAAACATCAAAGCGTTTTCTGACAGCAAAGTGCGACTCCTCTTCTCCTGTTGAATAGCTAAATCAGTAACACTCCCTGCAAAATGCATCCCAGCGAAGCTGGACGAACGCCCCGGAAATGGGAGTGTCAGGTCCAATCCACCAGCTCAGCTCCCGAGAGCCCACGCACGGGGCGTCGGCCGAGCCGCACAATCACCGAGACGACCGCAGCGCAAAAGGTCCCGGGACCTGGCTTTCGCGGACGTGGAGAAGGCCGTGTCTTGTCTGTCCGGCAAACAAGCAGCCAGTGACGGGGATAAGCAGGGCAGCGTGGGGAGCGAGGCAGAGCAGCTGGGCAGCCGAGCGACCCCTTCGGCTCCGCAAAGCCCGGTCCCCTCCTCCGGGGCCGTGGCCGGGGCGGCGGACGGTCCCGCTCCTCGGGGCTCACCCAGCAGCGAGGGCAGGTGTGGCCGGAGGGAGCTCTGCTCTGTGTCCCCCACGGCAGCCGAGAAGAGCGCAGCACCGTGCGGGTGGGGCCCGGGCGCCCCGCCAACAGCAGAACGGAGTGACAGGGCCGAGCAGAGGGAGCAGACCGGCCTCAGGCCCGCCCAGACCCAGCTCGGCCCCCACGTCGTCTCCCACAGCCCGCGGGGTGCAGCGCTGTGAAGCTATCGGCAGCCGCCGCGGCAGGGGTTCAACCCCGGCCGAAGAGGGACCCCCAGGGCGCAGCAGACCCTCCTGGCCCCCGCTGCCCCCTCAGCCGTGTGCCTCAGTGGGCCCACTCACCCCCCGCGCCTCTGGCTGCCCTGACTGGGGAGGCCCACAGCAAGGCCGAGAAGGCAACGGCCAGCCTGGACGCTGGGTTTTTCCTTCCGTTCCTTCCTGCCCCAGGCAGGGTCCCCCCGCACCCCGCCCCAGTCCACACGCAGACAAGGACCACGACAGCCGCTCAGCCCTCAGCCTCCACGCTCGGGGGCACGCTGGCACCTGCTCCCTCCGGTTCCTGGTGCTGGGCGGTGGCCGGCGCCCACGGGACCACCACCCCCTCCTCCCGCACGCCGGGCCCACCCAGCACGGGCCGTGCAGGGCCCCCAGGCTGGGGCCAGGTGAGTGCAGCCCCCCATGCCCATCCGTGCACGAAGACACGTTTTGCCAGACACGGCCGACGCCCGACGCCCAGCCCAGAGCCGCTAGCTCTAGCTCGCTCACCGCCTTGTGTTAGAGAAGCCGCCCTCCAGCGTCACTGGGGGCACCCCTCAAGTCCAGGGGAGCATCTCAACTTGTGAGAGGCCCAGACTGGCAACTTACGCCCAGACGGCGTCGGCGACAGGCCAGCGCCGGCCCCGACAGCCACCCACAGCCACGCCAGCCTCGGCCCCGAGTCCGGGCCCCGCAGGCCACGTGAGTCTGAGTCTCACGGGGCCCCGGTCTGCAGGGGGCCCGCTCCCACAGCCCCACGGCTCCCTGGAGCTGGAGGCGTGACCAGCGCCCCTGTCTGGGAGTGGCAGTCCGGCTGGTTCCCGAATCATCCACACAGTGACCGGAAGCGGGTGCGGTGGAGACGGCCGGTGCCGGCCGGCCCCCCTGGTCCCGGCTCGGAGGCCCCGTCTCACAGGGGCCCGCACAGCCG